CCAGCGCTGCTGCTCCTCCTCATCCCAAATCAAAAATGTCTGAGCCCTGATGCTGCCACTCAAGAGAGCCGGGGTGCCTGACACTGGCATCCCAGAGCTTGTGCCACTCTCTTGGGGACATCCACAGGGATGAACTTCCCTCCTGGAGAGACCCTCCCGGTGGAGAAGGGCTTTCCCCGGTGCTCCCTGGCCACCCACATTTCTGGTCATCCTGGTCCCCACCTATTGCGCTACCTCGTTGTTTTTTTTCTTGAAAAGTCCCACATTCCTGGAGATGGGGACCTGTAAGTGGTGGCAAAAGGTTTTGGCAGCTGCTGGCAAAGGTCCCGGTCAACATATCCCAGTGTTGGGTCATGCCCTGCCCCGGCTGCATCAGGCTCATGCGGGGAGTTGGGAAAGGCGGCCGATGCACTCATAGCTCTTGGGAATGCTAATTACCACGCTGGTGGCCCATGTGGCCACGTGAAACCGTGTCACCTCCATTAGTCTGGCCGGGCTGGTTGGTCCAGGGAAGGTGGGGACGTCCCCAAGCCATGACTCAGGGATGCCAGGGCCATCGCTGCAGACACAGACGGGAAATTTCGCAAACCCCGAGTTCTGGAGGAAAAGAAGAGCCCCTGGGAGCCCGGGGGTCAGAGGCACATGGGGACAGGGAAGGGCAGGACATCTTGTCCCAGTGGTGGCCGTCACACACAACAAAGGTGGATTTGGGAGGTGAAGAGAGGGATGGGAGGCAGCCACCTTGCCTAACTCATTGTGATGGCAGTGCCAGGGTGGGTAGGACATGGGGTGAGGGTATTTTCCATGTCCCAGGTAAGGTCTCCAGACCTGGACATGGAATTACTGCTGGGAGGTTCCCCATCAGCCCCCCAATGGCTGCTCCAAGGCTGATGGCCATGGAGGGAGCAGCCTGGTCCTTGGGGTGCCCGGCTGGTGGGATGGGGTGGGAGTGTGGTGCCAGAGGCTGCGTGGCCACAACCCTCCGTGCTGCCTGCTGCCAGGTGCTCCCCGCCTGCCCCATCCCAGCCCTCCTTCTTCAGCCCTGCAGAGAAGCACCTGGAGATGCTGGGGGGTGACAAACGGGACAGGAGCCAGCAATAGGCACTTGCAGCCCAGCCAACCCATCATCTCCTGCACTGCAACACAAGCAGTGTGTTCAGCAGGTTGAGGGAGGTGATTCTCCCCCCATGACTCATGTGAAACCCCCCTGGAGCACATGTCCAGCTCTGGGGTCCTACCACAAGGCAGACCCGGAGCTGTCAGAGCAGGTCCAGAGGGGACCGTGGAAATGGTCCAGGGGCTGGAAGATGCTCTGCTGTGGAGAAAAGCTGGGAGAGTTGGGATTGTTCAGCCTGGAGAAGACATTTTTTTAGCCTGTCAATATATAAGGGGGCTCATAAGAATGATGGAAAGAGGCTTTTCACCAGTGCCCGTAGAGACAGGAGAAGGGATGACAGTTTTATACTGGAAGCAGGTGGATTTTGGTTGGGTACGAGATGGAAATGTGTTGCGATGAGTGGCTGGAACAGGTTGGCCAGTGGATCTGTGGTTGCCCCATCCCTGGAGCACTCAAGGCCTGGCTGGACAGTGCTGGAGCAGCCTGGCCTAGTGGGAGATTAGAGAATCACAGAATGGTTTGGGTTGGAATGGGGTCTCAAAGAACATCAAATTCCAACTCCCTGCCCTGGGCAGGGACACCTCCCACCACACCACGTTGCTCCAAGCCCCCTCCAACCTGGCCTTGAACCCCTCCAGGGATGGGGCAGCCACAGCTTCTCGGGCCAACCTGGGCCAGGCTCTCACCACCCTCACACCAAACAAGTTCTTCCCCACAGCTCAGCTCCATCTCCCCTCTTGCAGGGTCCAACCCTTCCCCCTCCTCCTAGGGCTCCCCTCCCTCATCCAGAGTCCCTCCCCAGCTTTCCTGGAGCCCCCCTTCTTTAGGGACTGGAAGGGGCTCCAAGGTCTCCCCGGAGCCTTCTCTTCTGCAGGCTGAACCCCCCCAAGTCTCTCAGCCCCCCCTCCCAGCAGAGGGGCTCCAGCCCTCCCCAGCATCTCCGGGGCCTCCTCTGACCCCGCTCCAACATGTCTACATTCTTCTTGTGCTGGACCTGTTGGAGCGGCTCCAGAGGAGATGTCCCTGCCCAGGGAAGGGGTGGGACCGGGTGGTCTTTGAAGGTCCCATTCAATGCTCAGAGTTGTGCCCCATCCCCGGGGCTCCACGGGTCCCCCCCTGGAGCAGGTCTCTCGGTGGCGCTGGGGTTGCCCCATCCCTGGAGCAGTAGCCCGGCCTCCCGCCGCCAGGGGGCGCTGCCTCACCGCCCCCCATTCCCGGAAGTACCTGTTGCCCTGGTAACGGGACGCGGCGGTACCGGCCCGGGCCCGGCTGCCTCCTCCTGAGCGGGGACGGGGTGGGGGGGAGGCATCTTCATAGAATCATAGGATCCTAGAATCATCTAGGTTGGCAGGGACCTTCAAGATCATCTAGTCCAACCATCAACCTCACTCTGACAAAAAAACCCATCACTAAACCATGTCCCCCAGCACCACATCAACCCGTCTTTTGAACACCTCCAGGGATGGTGCCTCAACCACTGCCCTGGGCAGCCCATTCCAAGCCTTCAGAACCCTTTCTGTGGAAACATTTTTCCTAATCTCCAATCTGAACCTCCCCTGGCACAATTTGAGGCCGTTTCCTCTTGTCCCATCGCCTGTGACTTGGGAGAAGAGACCGACCCCCACCTCTCTACACCCTCCTTTCAGGGAGTTGGAGAGAGCGAGAAGGTCTGCCCTCAGCCTCCTCTTCTCCAGGCTGAACACCCCCAGCTCCCTCAGCCGCTCCTCACAAGTTCTCCAGACCCCTCACCAGCTCCGTTGCCCTTCTCTGGACCCACTCCAGCCCCTCAATGTCTTTTTTGTGGTGAAAGGCCCAAAACCTCGAGGTGGGGCCTCACCAGTGCCCAGGACAGGGGGACCATCACCTCCCAAGTCCTACTCCCCACACTGTTCCTGACCCAGGCCAGGATGCTGGTGGCCTTCTTGGCCACCTGGGCACACTGCTGGCTCCTGTTCAGCCCACAGGCCACCAACACCCCCAGGTCCTTTTCTGCCAGGCAGCTCCAGCCACTCTGCCCCCAGCCTGGAGCGCTGCAGGGGGTTGGTGGGACCCAAGGGCAGGACCCGGCACTTGGCCTTGTTGAACCTCATCCCATTGGCCTTGGCCCATCAATCCAACCTGTCCAGATCCCTCATTCCTCTCTCCAACTTTGCTGTTTGTGGAGTCATCCAGGACAAAATTATCTTCGTATTTCCAAACCACAGGAAAAGCTGTTGTTTCTGGTGCCGGTGCAGCACCTGCCACAAAGGGGGTTTTGCCGGGGCCTGCCAGGCACTGCAGGAGCATAAATAATAAAATATATGCGTGTATATATATATATTTGTGTATATCAATTAATCTTATATTTCTGTCTGCCAGGTGAAATGGGCACCCCCATGGCTCAGGGGTGTTTGTTTGCCCTCCCAAATCGGGTGTTTTGGGGTCTGGACACGTCGCTGCCGGTTGGTGCTGGTGTGAGCCAGCCTGTGACCATTCCTGGGCCAGCGTGGGCTGTGGGTGCCTGTCCTCAGGGACCCATGTGGAGCTGAGAGCCCAGGGGAGATGGCGTGCACCCGGGGAGCGGAGCTGCAGCTCGGTGCCGGAGCACCCGCTGGAGACTTCCGAGCCCCCTCTGGTGCTGTGGGCGGTGTGTGAATTTGGCTTTTCTGCTCGGCGGTGGGTGTGAAGAGACTGTGAATTCTCATCAGCGCTTTCATTACCTTAATAAAATTACTTCGGGTCCGTTAAGTTCTTGTGCAGAAGAATAAGACATAATTGCATCTTTCGTTAGCTTCTCTCTTCCCCCACCACCACCACCCCGAGCCCCAGGAGAAGCCATCCCCTGTGACTCGCTTCTGTGGCCGTTTATGAAATCCGTGTTGACTACGGGATCTTCTCCAACAGCCTGGACGAGGTGAGGAGCTGGTAAACTCTGCTGGGCTGAGTTTCTGTCAGGGTGGTCCCTCTCCCTCCTTCATCCTTCAGCTTTGACAGACACAAAGGAGTTATTCAGAGCTATGGTCTCTTTGAAAAAGACTTTGTCAAAGCTTTTTCTTCTGGAGGAGACAAGTTCTTACCTAAGCCTCACCCACTCTACAGAAATAGCAGTGATAATAAACCCGAAATGAGGAGATTAAGAACTGGGATGTGTTGTACCCCCTGGGTGCTGTCCTCCAGGGTCTCCCAGTGTTACCCACCACCTCTGGCTCTCTCTGTTACCCTCGCTCTTATGTTGGAGACTCTGCTCAAAGTACTTTTAGCTTTGGGCGCTTGGGAGTTGTCCCTGGATGGTGGTGGTTTGGAATCAGCAGCAGTAGGTAGGCCAGATGTAGCACTGTCTGGGCTAATCCGAGTTCGTTTTGGTGCGTGTTTTGCTTTGAAACTCATATTTTTCTGCAGAGCATCTCCCATGCAAAGTGATAAATTGGGGATGGTCTTTCCCGGTCAGAGCTCAAAGTTACTGGTACCTTTGGATGGCTCATTGACACAGGAGATACAAGGACTGTAGAGATCAAGAGAAAATTGCCTGGAAGTTGATGTTGTTCTTGGAGCAGGTGGTTGGATTAATGGAGTAATTAATGGGTTAATCAGATCTTTAATTCTCCAAAGATCCCACTGATGGGAGACGGAGGCCATCCCTGCAGCCAGGTTTTGGGAGTGGTCCCAAAATATAAATAATATAAATGGAGTGGCACCTCCTAGCTGCAATATTGCTTCACTGTGGTGTCTGCTCAGCTTCTTGTTGCAGTATCTGCTGTGAGCTTTCTTAGGAATGTGGAAACTTCCTGATAGGGGTCATTTCTTTTCCTGGGGTGTCTGTAATGACTGGCTCCACCTTAAGATGGATCAAGGTGGATGTCGCACCCGCTAGTAACCAAAGTTGTTAGCAACATGGCTTGTGCTCAGCTGGAGGGAAAAGCTGCTGCCAAAGAGATCCTTAGATCCTTCCTTTGCTCTTCAGCCACTACCTGCCCCATATTGGGCAAAGATTCTGGATTCTGGGTACATGGATTTTGCAGAGAACGAGAGGGTAAGTACTTTGACAGAGCACATGCAGCATCTTGGTAGCAAAAATATAAGTGTGAAGGTCTGCAGCCCCTTCCTGGGTCGTGGAACCAGCTCTCTGCAAATGAAATCCTAGTTGCAAGAGGAAAACAACAGCTGAAAATTCCATCTGCAACCTCTTGGAAGCTCTGACAAACTGGAGATGCTGTGATCTTCCACCGGCCGGGGGGAGAGGAGGGCTCTGCTGTCCGGCACCGGCTGTGGGACCTGTTGTGTGTCTCCAGGTGCAGCTGCAGGACAGGAGTGAGAGGCTGTACAGGCTCGGAGACCTGCAGGAGAGGACAGGGAAGCTGGCTGGCTCCAAACCAGATTCATCAGCCAGAATGGGCCTCAGTGAAGAGGAAAAACTGAAGGTAAAAGAAATACTCGAGGAGTTGGAGAGAACTGAGCTGTGAAGCTGTGTGGGACCAGGAGATCCGCAGGGGAAAATCTGGTGGGAAATGTTGGGGCATCTTTGTAGGGGTGGATGTTGTGCTCACACTGCCCGGTGTGCTGGCCTCAGAATCAGTCCATGGCCTTTTATAATGTCCTTTCTCTCTCCCAGATTTCCAAAGAGCTCATTGATCTCCAGATCGAGACAAACAAAATGAAGGAGCGGTATGAGACGGAGAACTTCCAACTGAAAAATATGGTATCCAAAAGTGTTACGTGGAATTGCTTCAGCGCTGCCAATACCTTTATCCAGATCTGCAGCTCATTACACATCCCTCTTTGCTTCCCTTGGTGTATTCTCCTGGCTTTAGCTAGAGCAATTAATCCCCCTGACACCCCAGATACCATGAAACTCATGTGAAACTCATCCCTCTCTTAATTTATAGGGTATCGGAAACTGTTTGGCCAAATAAATGCCCTTTGATTGCTGCTGCAGCAGCCTAATTCTGCTGCCTCCCCTCTGCAGATCCTGGCCCTGGAGAACCGCGTGCAGGAGCTGGAGCTCTGCAGTCAGAGAGTCACTGGGGAGCGGGATGCCTTACGGGAACGCCTGCAGGCTCTGGAGACCAGTCGGAAGGAGCTGGCGGATGAGTACATCATTTTGAAAAGCAATTACCTGGCCCTAGGCAAAGAGCTGGACCAGGAGGTGAGACGGGCTGCAGTGTTCACCCTGATGTTCTCCACTCCATCTCTAAATCACCCGATCGGTTGGCTTTGGGATGTGTATCCACATCACGGCTGAGATGTCGATCAGCTGTGAGACAGCGTAGCTCGGGCATGGTTTTGTTTTCAGGGCCCAAAGATTTCATGCAATGTGGTCACCTTCGAGAAGGGCTTGCAGAACCTGCAGGGACAGTGCCGAGCCCACGCTGACCCCCCGTGTGGTGCTCTTCCAGGCACCCCGCTGCCGGGGTCCTTCTCTTTTCAGGTCCACCCTACATCCCCATCACTAGTGGTGGCGAGGAGGTCACCGTGGGGCTGGCCAGGGTGCACGTTGCAGGTCCCTCCTGCCTGCCAGCACGCTTTGTTTCCCTTTCCTTCTGCATGGCTGGCCCAGGCTGCGCGTGAACCCATTGTGGTCGCTCTCATTCCGTACGGTGGCGGGAAGGGGCCTGCAAGTTTTTGAGGTCAGCAAGTTTAGAGAAACACTGAATGTAAGCAACTTTCTGGTTGTTCCTTAAAATACCAGCAAATTTCCTGGTGGCTGTTAGCTTAGCGATTATTAACTCGAGGCTTTTGGAGCCAGATCTATGTATTTCTTTGGCAAGAATAGCTACTTCAATAGACCTCCCTCCCTTCCCTCCCTCTCCCCCCCTCCCACTTCTCCTTCTTTTTGAATTGAATCAGATGACTGACACCCTCCTGCCTCCCTCCCTCCCCCGGCAGATAGTTTAGCTGGTTCAGCCAAATGACCCGGTTTGCAGGGCTGTGGTGGGAAGATGTGGGGCTGGGAAACGCTGGGTTGGGCAGCGTCCAGTCTCTCTTCACGGTGAGCATCCCTCTGCAGAGCTCTGGTAGAGGAGGACAGGAGGTCACGATGGCCCCGTTGCAAATAAGTGAGGTAGTGACTCTTGCGAAGCCGTCATTTGTCTCCCGAAAAGTGCAGAAAATGGAAATTTCTTAGGAGGAGGCAAGCTCAGCTGCTGGCAGGGGTGTGAGCCCACCCCGGCGTCCTGCCCGAGCACGAGGCAGAGCGCGTGGGGCTGACTGGCAGCACGGCAACTCGCTGCCGAGCCTCGGCACCGCCGGGCTGCCGGGGAACAGCTCGGCCTTCCGCAATCCCTGTTGCTTCTTGGCCCCAAGAGGGTGCAATCTGTTAGTCGAAAAAACGAGATTTTCGGGTAGGGCTGACATCTCTAAGTGATGGCTTTAACGGGTTGGTGGTAATAACACCCTGTTTTCACATGGGTCCTGGAATCTTTCGGGGAGTGAAAGCGCATGGATGCAGTTACGTGCCTGGATAGCGTCAGACAATTAAGACATTGAGGTGCTGGAGCATGTCCAGAGGAGAGCCACCAAGCTGGTGAGGGGCCTGGAGAACAAGTCCTATGAGGAGAGGCTGAGGGAACTGGGCATGGTTAGTTTGGAGAAGAGGAGGCTGAGGGGAGACCTCATTGCCCTCTACAACTATAGTGTAATACTGAAGAATACTTTTGGAGAAGAGGAGGCTGAGGGGAGACCTCATTGCTCTCTACAACTACCTGAAAGGAGGTTGTAGAGAGACAGGTGTTGGCCTCTTCTCCCAAAGGACGAACGACAAGACCAGAGGAAATGGTCTGAAGCTGGGGCAGGGGAGATTTAGATTAGATATTAGAAAGAACTACTTTACTGAGAGAGTGGTCAGGCCCTGGAACAGCCTGCCCAGGGAGGTGGTGGAGTCACCATCCCTGGAGGGATTTAAGAAACGTGTAGACATGGCTCTTCAGGGCATGCTCTAGTGCCCAAGGTTATTGGTTTATGGTGAGGTGTTGAGTGTGGGGTTTAGTTGGTGGGTGCGGTGTTTTTGGTGGGCGTTTGGTGTGGTGTGTTTTGTGTTTGTTTGGTTTTTGGTTTTTTTTTTTGTTTGTTTGTTTTTTTTGTGGTTGGACTCGATGATCTCAGAGGTCCCTTCCAACCACTAAGATTCTGTGATTCTGTGATAGCGTCCTGAAGAAGCAGTGGAGCAGGGTCCAGAAGCCAAAGGTGAATTCCTTGGTTGTAACTCGTAGGCTGAGAGGATTCTACCCCAGTTTCTTGGCTCCCACTACCAAATACCCCTGCCTGAAGCAAAAGAGGCTCCAACTTGGCAGGCTGGGCCTTGTCACGGCGTGGGCCTCTTGCTCATTATTTTCCCAGCGCGGACTTTCCCAAAGGAAATGGGAAAAGCAGCCTGCGGTTCTGCGCCCCCCCCCCCCCCCCCCCCCCCCCCTCCCCTTCCCTGGCGCTCTTCTGGGGGAGACAATGAACCTTTTACACATTCCCAATTACAAGTGCTACTTGTGACCTTGCCAATATGTTGTCATGGCTGCTTGGCGCAGGAGCAGCCCCGCCAGCTTCATTCAGGGTCCCCCTCCTTACGGGAAGGGTTTCCAGCCTCTGAATGGCGGCGGCCCCCATTGTAGGGCGCCATTCACACATCGCCCCGCGTCTGTCCCGGGCGAAGGAGCTGCCCTCGCCTCTCCCCCGGGGGGAAGAGCCTTCCAGAAGATGCCAGCCAGGCACTTTGTGCCTGTTTTCTAACTCGCCGTAAATTCTTCCTTTTCAAGGCTCTGACCTTTTCTCAACTCTCCGTTTCCTCCTCCCCTTTTGTTCGGCGGCCGCGGCGGCCGCTACAAAGCGAGGAGGGAACCCAAATGGCTGCGAACCCCTTCCATGCTGGGGTTTTCCTGGGAGCCAGGCCAGGCTTGGGAGGACAGGGAAGGCAGCGAAGCCCACGGCAAACCCGGGACTGCCTCTTTCTTTGGCTAAACTGGTACTTCTGGGCCTGCGTGACCCCCTCTGATCAAATTGTCAGGGCTGACAGCTGCAGATGGATCCTTTTCGGTTGGAGAACAAGCAGCCTGTCTCTGCGTAGCTGTCAGTTTTCACAGCTGTATATCTCACCTCTTTGTCAGCCTCTTTTCTCCTCTCCTCTCTCCCTCAGCCCACCCTGTGCTATCTTTTGATAAGCTATTCTCTCCACGGATGACTCAGATGACCTCTGCCTCCCATCCTCCCGATTCACTGCCATGGTAACAATTACTCAAGCTTGTCCCCAGTCATAAACCCCATCAAAGCTTTGTTATCTACATAGAAACCCTCCCGTGAGACATGAATTCCCCCAGTGTTCCTTCCAGATCACCTGTAACAGAGCCTTTCTCATTCAGATCCTCTTTATCTTTTGGAAATGTGTCACTTCGCACCAGCCCCGCGCTTTGAATCTCTCGGCTGCCTACACGCTGCTGTGGGCTGGCTGCTGCTGGAGGGATGCCTTCCAACAAAACTGGGATTAGCTGGGTGGCGTCAGCCTGGATGGATGGAGCTTTGGTCCTTCTCTTCTGTTACGGCGCTCTCCTAAGCCGTTGTGTGGGCAAAGACATGCCTGGAGTGCTGGGAAGCCGTGGGGAGGGTACAGGGTGAGAGGGAGGAGGGAGGCTGGAGGTCAGGACACAGAGGTGGTGGCCCAGGGGTCTGTATGTGAATGCAAGAGCAAGCTGGGCAGAAGAATTATGGTTACTGTTGAATAATCCCAATGCCTGGCGATGATGCTTACCCTGCATTTCCATGAGAATCACTGATATCTCTGTACATATGAGAGAAAACTAAAAATAAAGCTTGTTTTCAGGAGGGGATGTGAGTGTCGGCTTCGTGTACGCACCAAGAGCAGCGAGTGTGTGCCAGACAGAGTGTGTGGAGCCGGAGAGGCAGGATTCCCAAAGCTCTTTCCTTCTTGTTTGACCTGGCAGGTCGTGAAGAACGAAGAGCTCAGCCAAGAGCTGCTCAACCTGGCCAATGCCAGGAGCAACCGTGGCCCCACCGTGGCTGATGGATCCTCTGCCCAGCTGGAAAGAGTGCAAGCAACGGCGCGTCGTCCCTCAGCTCGGGGAGGAAAGGTAAGGACCTTTCTGCCCCGTCACGAGCTCCTTGGAGAACAGGGATCCAACAGGCATCTTCTTCTGTCTCTTACTAAAACCAGCCAGAAGATGTAGTCGCCTCTGAACACGAGCGGCAAAAGCTGGAGAGAAACGTGAGTGTGTGTGGGTCTGCTCCTGGATCCTTGGGGAAGGAGAAGGGGGAATTTATTCCGAGTGTGGCTGGCACCTCCTGGTGCTCACTTGAATTTTATGGATAAGCTGCCTTGACTTACTTTAAACTTTGTTTAAGCTGGGCTGTTGAAGAAAATGAGACTAGAATAACTCTAGCTCTTGTGCAGGCAAAAGCTGAGAGGGCTTTCCCTCCATCCGTGGCCCTGGATGAACAGAGGCAGGAGTTTCAAAGCCAACAAGTGCAGAGGACACGTGCTTATTTTCTTTTTACTTGAGAGAGGTGGGGGTGATAAAGCAGCTGAAACTGAGAGCACGGAGCTGCTTCCTGCCTCCTTCCCATTGCACCCTGTGCGACACCAGCTTGGGCTCCACCACCAGCTCCCACTGGGAATCTACCTCTTGGAGATCCCTCGGGGGAACAACACTTGTGCACTTCCATGTGCCCTGTTGTCTCCAGAGCACACACCGCTCCTGGTGTGGTCACTCCCAGCTGAAACCTGTCCTTGCCCCAGTATGTCACTGCTCAGCTGGACTTGTGCTCAGCTCCTCACGAGTCCCTCTACTTAGCTCAGCCCTCATCTTCCTCTTCGTTTGTCCCTCAGTTGCTTGGAAACCAGGATCACATAAAAGTGGAGCTTGAAAAATTGAAGAAAACCTACGATTCGCAGCAGCAGAAGCTGGAAGAGAGAGTGTGAGTGCTTGAGGGCACGTCCCTCTGTTTGGCTGGGCATTTACGGAGCAGCAGAAGGTGATGCCTGGGCACAGGAGAGGAGGCAGCCTGCCTTTGGTGGGGTACAGGCTGGGAAATGACGGTTCACCCTTGGAAGAAGTGAGGCCTGGAAGCTGAACCTGGTGTTTTCAAAGTTCTTAAGAGGTTTAGGTGGTTGCTTGGAAGTGGGTGGTGTTTAGGTACCTGATTGGCCTATGCACCTCTGAAAATCCACCTTCAGTGACACACAAGGTCAACGTGTGAGAGTCCAGAGTTGAATCCAGCCCTAGCCCTTACCCCCACAGCAGTTCTCCCATCCACAGGCTGGGATGGGGTCGGTGTCCGGGGTAGGGGCTGTCACATCAGGGGTGCTGGAGAACTAGACCCCCTGAATGGGGAGGATGTTCACCTTTGGCTGTGAGAGCTCTGTGGGCACACAGCTGATGTGGGCTGGCATCCCGTGGTGATTTCCTTCTCCAAGCTGGCTGTATTGGACCTCCAGAGAAGTTTGGGGGATTAAAATAACCACACCTTCTTCCTGTGTGCCCAGGGTGGCGATGGGGAAGGAGCTGCAGGAGGCGATGGGAGCGATCGGGGACACCCAGCGCAGGCTGGCGGAGCAGTCGGCGGTAAGGGCATGCTGCCTTCCAGCCCCCAGGGCTGCCCCTGCTCCTCCTGGGGGCCACGTGCTCCTCCTGGGAGCTGGCAGGGGATGGGTGTCTCGTACTGAGGTGCTCTGACACGTCTCTCCCTCTCCAGGGAGTTTATCCCTGCGCACTTTCCCTCCCCAGGGGTGCGATGCACGTGGTGGAAGGTGCTGCTTTGCCACAGGTGGTGGGAGGAATTTTATTCACTGCTATTTAGAAAGGGTTGGTGAAATCACCGGGCGGGGGGAATTGCGAGTGACAGAAGGTAGCAGGGGAATAGAGTCTATAAACAGGCTCCTGTGAAAACCCAGGACCTTCCCAGCTCTCCTGAAGCTGGAAATGAAGTCTCCCATCTCTTACGGAGCTTCTTAGTGTCCCCTCGCTTGACCAGAGGATGAAGGCAGCAGCCCGTGTGCTTGTTGTGCCCAGGTTCTGCTCACCTCCCAGAGCCAGCTCCAAGAGGTGGAGGCAGAGAATTCCCAGCTGCAGCTCCGGCTGAAGCAGCTGAACGAGGAATATCGCTCCCGGCTCGCCCAGTACATCAAGGACGTGGCGGTGGGTACCCCCAGCCCCAGGGGCTCTCCTCAACTGGGGAGGTCTCTCCATACTGGGTGTCTACTTCTTGCAGGCTGCTGTTTCCCCTCCTTGCTGGGCTGCTGAGCGGAGCAGGCAGTGGGGCTCGGGAAGCCCTCTCTGCCCTTGGCTTGGCCTTGGGGAGGAGATGCCACCCCCCACCTCCTCGCCCAGATTTCCCTTATGGCCACACAAAACGGGTCTGCAAGTTTCTGCTGGGACACTTTTCTTGGTCAGATTACTTGGGTTGAAAGATCCTCTTATTTACAATGGCTGCCCTCCAGTTGGCTTCTAATCCCCATTGCCCTGACAACGTCCCTCAGCAGGCCAGGCCATGCCACTTCTGGCTTTGTCACCGCCTCCATGGTGACTCTGCTGCCGTCCCCAGGGAGCTCTGCCAGCCTCCGTGGTCTGCCCCAGAGCCGTGTAACACCAAGGCCTGGGACCCACACTGGGAACAAGCCCCTTTGACACAGAGCAGGGACCCCAGAGTGTGGTGAGGACTCACAAGGTGGGTGTTTGGGGCAGATTCAGGCATGGATACCTGGTTGTATGGAGCAGCCAGACTGGGAAGGAATCTTTCTCCCCCTCTAGGTAGCAGTGAGCAGGTCTTGGCAAGAGCTTCTGTGCCAGGAGAAGGCTGGTACCAAAGAACACGGTGGTGGGGATGGATCAGGAGACCAAGCAAAGCCATTTTTATTATTAAGAATAGTTTAATTTCTAACAGAACAGTCTTGAAGCATCTCCTGTCCAGCAGAGAGAGTGGGGCAGGGTGGAAAGAAGACTAGAGACGGTAACTCCCATCACCAACTCGTGTTTCCCTAGGTGGGTCATGGATGCAGTACAGATGCCTTCTCTGTCTTGCAGGCCACGATGGAAGTTAATTAGTCATCCCTCCTCTGAGAAAATGGAAGATATGCCCTATTCTCTCTGCTGTTTGCACAAATATGCCTGGACCTCTGTGGGAAATGGGTTACGTGCCTTAGGGAACGACCTGATCACCTCCATGTCTTTGTCTGTTTTAAAGGACTACATGGACAGCAAAACCAGCAAAGCCCCAGCTGATCACGCTCCCATGAAACGTTTCGTGGACAACATGCTGAAGGACATCAGGGCTTCCTACAAGTCTCGGGAAGAGCAGCTAGCTGGAGCAGCCCGTGGCTACAAGAAACGGATGAAGAACTTGGTCAAGAAGCACGAGAACCTGCTGATTGCTTATGGGTAGGTCCAAGCCGGGACCTGGGCTACCTCTGTCCCTTCAGCTTATCACTAAGGTCCAACTGGAATTGCCCCATAGCACCCAGTTCCTTTGATGAGGGAGGCAAATGGGGCTTCTAGGTGGAGCAGAGGATCTGGAGTGCATGTTTATCTCCTTGCTTGTGACAAGGCAAGAGGAAGGCATCTCCAGCTACACATCAAGGTGCTCTGGACACCCTGCTTGGCACATACCTTTCTCCTGTGTAAAATTTAGGGTGAGAAATTGAATTCCATGTTGGATGGTGTGGAAATGCAGAGGTACCACAAATAACTCCTGCCTCCCAGCCCGTCTCTGCAGCGTTCTCAGCTCTGCTCTGCAGCTCTCAGCAGCTTGGGCTGTGGGAAGCAGCAGAAATTCTTGTGGCACCAAAGCCACAAATAGCTCGAGGACAAGCTCCTCTCAGAAACACTCCCAGGAATATTGTGCACGCTGCTGGGCTCTCCCACTTATCCTTGGCGGGTGGACTGGCTCTCGGTGGCCAGAAGCCAGCAGATCCCAAGCCAATGGTTCCTCTGTCGGCAGCAGAAGTGCTCAGTGTTGTCACCTACCCAAAGCTACCAGGGACTAACCCCTCTGGCACCTTACAGGCTCCAGAGAGAGCAGATCCGCTCCTCGGGCAGCAGCACTATGGACTGTGGCCCTGCTGAGCTCCACTTCTCCATCACGGACCCGGAGCTGCTGACAAACACAACCCGGGAGCTCAACCGGCTGCGGGAGGAGAAAGCAAAACTGGAGATGCAGCTCCATCAACTGCAGAAGGTGGTGGCTGGGACTGCTGGTTTTCTGCCGGGGCAGAACTTTGGGGTGGTGGGGAGAGTCTCAAAAGAGCCAGATTCAGCCCCGTCCTTAGGCATTCCCTGGGGGTTTGCCATGTCAACCTGCTCGCTCTCTCATTTTGGGAAGAGATGGGGTGTCCAAGCAAGTCCAAGTTGCTTCGACCCCGTTGTGTAGGAGTGAGTTACAGTGAGATCCAGGAGGCTGAGCAGCCCCACGGATTGGGGTCAGGGAGCTCTGGGAGGGCTGAGGAGCAGCAGGTGCCGTGGGAGAGCTGCCAGGGCAGCAGGGTCACTCACTGCTGGAAAATGGGCTGAGTCAGGGAAGACAGGATGGGGTTTTCTGCTCTTAAATGCCTTTGCCTCAGCGTGAAGAGCTAACTGGGCAGGAGACCGCAGCCAGAAACACACCAGTCAGCTCCACTGGGCAGAGACCTGCATGAGATAGATACGTTTATTTAAAAATTAAAAGGATGAGGGACCTAAACCTTAAGATTGTGCCACACATCACTCCCTTGCCAGGGCACGGGTGGCTCATAGTGTGCTGGGACACCTTGTGCTGCTGCCAAGGACTGGGGTGAGGCCACAATGGTGTAATGCTTACAGGAAAACTGTTCTTCCTTTGCCTCCAGAAAAGACCGAAAGAAACCTCTGCCTTTCCGCTGTCTCCTGAGCAGTAAGTGCTGATTGTTTCTCGGGATATTTGTAATTCCGAATTCCTCTTGCTGTGTGTGGATGGAGGAGTCTTTTCTGCTTTACTTGGGAGACGGTAATAAATAGGGAGAAAGCGAGCTGAGAGGGACTCATCTGAGAAGAAAAGCCAGCTGTCGTCTCAGCGCAGCCTTCCCTGGGGTGAAATGAGTTGGTCATTTGGGCCTTGATCCAAGAAAGCTCTTAAGCACATGTTTGATTTAATCATGTTTGTAGTCCCGCTGATCTCTTTAGAAGCTGAAGTTAAGCATACGCCCGAGTGCTCCGGTGGATCACAACCTGAGAAAGGCAGATGAAACACCACCAGTTTGGGGATGGTCTTGTTTCTCCTCCCTCCCAACACAGAAGCTGGGCTGGAACCCTTAGGTGACCCTGTACTGGTACCTCCCTGGCTTCCTAAAATGCCCTTTATTCTCCTCCCTCCCAACACAGAAGCTGGGCTGGAACCCTTAGGTGACCCTGTACTGGTACCTCCCAGGCTTTCTAAAATGCCCTTTATTTGCTCCTTTTTGATGGGCCTCTTCCCCCCGTTCCATAATTCTGTTGAAACTCTACCAACTAGAGCTGTGGAGAGGTGGGACAAAGTGAGAAGAAATCTGAGCTGGGATTTTTCAGCCTTTTAAAATGTGGTAGCCTAGAAAACACTTTGGGTATTTCACTGACTGGGTGCCAGTACTGAGGAGCTGGTCAGTGCCCGAGCCACTGGGCTCTGGAGGAGTGTCTTAGAGAAGAGCCTGAGCCTTAACCAGGCTCTGCCGTGCTGAAAAATAGTCACAGCCCTGGAAGAGATGCAGGAATTGCGGCAGATTTGCCAAAGGAACAAGACAAAGAAGTACCAGAACCTGCATTTTAGTGATGCACCTTGGTAAGGCTTTTATAGCTGCCAAGAGACTCCAAACGCTTGTTTTCCGGGTGCTGATAGGTCTTACCCACACCACGACCTTGTTCCTCCAGCTGGAGACACGAAGCCTGGTGTCACCGCAGCCCTTCGGCCTTAATTACTGCTGCTCCTCCTCTTCATCAGCCGCGCGGCTTCACGGTTTATTGTTCCCTTTGCCTCTGCTCCCACCAAATCTCCGCCGCGGTTCCCCATGCACCCGGCCCGGGAGGGTGCAGCCAGCAGAGGGATCTCTGGCAGTCGCAGCTCTGGAGCACAATGCATTCCTCCCTTCCTGCAACCCAAATTCCTCCCCCCAGCATCAGATGTGACCTGTATTTCACTTATTCAGACTGGGACAGAATGGGAAGCCCTATCCCACGGCTGGGCAGCGCAGACACCTCACCTATTGCGACCAGAACGGGTGGGTTTGTGCTCCAGAACATGAAAAGCTCCAGCATTTGGCATCCATCGCTCTCTTTTTTTTTTTTCCCCATCAAATTCGGTCCTGCAGTGTCAGGTTCAGGGCTCTTGTGATAAATGATTTTTCCTCAAACAGGATTCCAATTAGAGTTTACAATTTATTAAACGAGTAAAGACAAGCAAACAGCGCTGGGTGCACCGGGAGTCTCCGCTCAACCAAGGCACACACGTGCAAGTCCCGTTTTTGGGTTTATATCGCTTCTCCTAATACATATTCATACAAAGGTTGGCCTATGCTAATGATAGGTGTGTCTTCTTTGGCGCATGCCCTCCTCACCTTCTGGAATCTTCTATGTGTTTTCCTTGGCTGGCCCCCAGGATGACCCCCGACTCCAGGCGTGCGCCCCACAGACCCCTCCCGCTCAGCACCACGCGGCCAGTAACAAAAAAAATGGTTTCCTTAGGGGTTCTTACAAGAAACAGAAACTACATCCATACAATCCCACTTCTCCCAAACCCATGGTCATACAAGGACAAACAGAACAGTTAAAGATATTAACACCAATCAGATGAACACATTTCACAGCTCTTTTCTGCACGGAGTCCTCCGACGCGTGAGTGGTGATGGAACAAACCCAGCCCTCGCAGAGGGGAGCCCCAGGTTGGCAAAAAGGGCTGTGACTCTCGTGCCCGGGCACAGGGATGGGCACTGCGTGCCCTGAAGAAGCCGAGGGCATTGGGAGAGAGGGCATTGGGAGAGAAAAGGTTCAGAGAGATGGGGTTTATGGTCTGATGGACACGAGTTGTGTCCAGAGCTCTGCGACCTGCTGGATTTGAACGTCTGGGTATGATCAAAATCTGCTTTTCTCTCCCAGGAGGCTGGATGAGGAGGGCTGGGAGGAGGTCAGGAAGCATCTCCGGGAGATCGCACGCACCACCCAGGTAAAGGTTGGGAACAGCCCGTCTGGAAAAAAGCTTATCCCTTACCCACATGTCAAAGATGTGCTGCCTCAGGTTGCCAACACGCTGCTCCAGGCTGGAGCAGGGAAGCTTGCCACGGAGCCTTGCTGTGCCTTTGGCCTCAGCCCATCAAGTGACGCCAGCAGGTCCCCAGCAGGTCACATATCAGGGCTGTCCTTTCCCTGCTGCTAAAAGAAGGAGAACAGCCCTTACCAGCCCGTCGCTGGACTGTGTTGCTCCTTCCCTTGTTTCAGCACAAGCATTTGGGCATCTCTACAACAAACTGGGGCTATATTCACAGAATCACAGAATGCTATGGGGTTGGAAGGGACCTCTGGAGATCATCCAGTCCAACCCCCTGCCAGAGCAGGGCCACCCAGAGCAGGTCCCACAGGAACGTGTCCAGGTGGGTTTGAATGTCTCCAGAGAAGGAGACTCCACCACCTCCCTGGGCAAAATCTTCCAGGGCTCTGCCACCCTCACAGCAAAGAAGTTCCTCCTCATGTTGAGATGGAACTTCCTATCTTCAAATTTTTGCCTCTTTTACCTCTTGTCCCTGGGCACCACTGAAAAAAGCCTGGCCCCATCCTCCTGACACCCACCCTTTAAGTATTTATAGGTTTTGATCAGGTCCCCCTCAGTCTGCGCTTCTCCAGACTAAACAGACCCAAGTCCCTCAGCCTTTCCTCACCAGATAGATGTTCTACTCCCCTCATCATCTTTGTAGCCCTCTGCTGTCCCCTCTCCAGCAGTTCCCTGTCCTTCTGGAACTGGGGAGCCCAGAACTGTGCCCAGTGCTCCAGATGGGGCCTCCCCAGGGCAGAGCAGAGGGGCAGGATGACCTCCCTCCACCTGCTGGACACTGTTCAATGACCTCCCTCCACCTGCTGGCCACGCTCTGTTTGATCTGGTTCAGGTCTAGTTTGAGTCTGAATCAGTTTCCCAGTTTGGTTTCCCCTGAGTGCAAGGATATTTACACTGCACTTGGGAATGGGGTGGCCCAGAGTGAGGAGAAAAGCTCTCTCCATCCTCAACTCCGCTCTGCAGCACCCATGGAACTGGTGATGCTCGCAGGGAGCGGGCTGGCTGAGGTGGGGTTTGCTGTCCCAGCGGTGGCAGCAGTGGGGACAGTGGCCCCACAGTGACCTGAGGAAGTGCTCCCCCCTTTCTCTGCTCACGTAGAGCTAAACACCTAAATTGTGTGTATCTTTGTGGCCAGAAGAAGGGAGATGCCACAGCTGAGAGGCCAGAGTGCATCAGTTTCCCAGTTTGGTTTCCCCTGAGTGCAAGGATATTTACACTGCACTTGGGAATGGGGTGGCCCAGAGTGAGGAGAAAAGCTCTCTCCATCCTCAACTCCGCTCTGCAGCACCCATGGAACTGGTGATGCTCGCAGGGAGCGGGCTGGCTGAGGTGGGGTTTGCTGTCCCAGCAGTGGGGACAGCGGCCCCACAGTGACCTGAGGAAGTGCTCCCCCCTTTCTCTGCTCACATAGAGCTAAACACCTAAATTGTGTGTATCTTTGGGGCCAGAAGAAGGGAGATGCCACGGCTGAGAGGCTGGAGTACGGCACTGGGAGCAGATCCTGCTCCTGGCTCTGCTGGGCATCTCGGTGGTGAGCTTGGTCAAACACTTCAGATCTCCCTGGTGACACAGGGACTGTGCCCTTAACTTGGGTAAGATGATGATCTACTGCCCAGAGACTGAAAAAAAATTTATTATTTTTGATGATGATCTACTGCCCAGAGACTGAAAAAGAATTTATTTTCTTTTTTAATCTAAAAGGAAAATCATTTCCCTTTGCAACAAACCACCAGCGGAAAGGTGTGAAAGCTCTCTGTGTCCGAGTGCCAGATCTAGTCACCGCTTGGCCAGCTGTCTGTGAAGCCTCTAGGGCAGTTAACGATGGCCTGGCAGGCAGGGGTGGCCCTGTCCTGGGGTGGCCCTGTCCCCCATTCCTGCAGAACGATGTCCTAATGTCACCAGGCTCCTTTCCCTGAGCACATCAGTTCTTGGTTGCCTCCCTAGCCTAATGCCAAGTGGTGCCGGAGCTGAGTGATGGGGAAGCGCTCGGTCTCCCCTGGCAGAGAGGGACTGAGCAACTTCACTCCCATCTCCCTGTTTTCTCCATGTTTTCTTGCCCCTCCAGGAGGATTTGGAGCAGGAGAGGAGCCGGCTGCTGGCTCGGGCGGTGGTGGCAGAGGAGCAGGTGTCGGAGCTGCAGGAGTACATCGACAAGCATCTCGCGAGGTGAGAGATGGGAGCATCCCCCTTCACTGTGCTCTCTGCTCCCTGCTCCCAGTTCATCTCCCAGGCTAATTGCTGGTGACAGGGCCAGGTTGGCCGTGCCATCAGGTCCTGACCTCGCCGCTGCCTTCCCACGGTGCTGCCGGCACGGCTGGTGTCCCCGCGGCACCTCCAGCTGTGTGGGCAGCTGCCACCAGCCCTCCCTCCTTCCCTGTGTGCTCACCCATCCTTTGGAAGGAGCTAAGAGAGGGATTGGTGCCTAAAATCTAATGCCCTGATCTATGGTCCTCTCTCCTTGGCTCATCCACGCCCCGAAGCTCGGGCAAGGAATGGCAAGAAGAAGCAGGGCACAACTGCCAGAGTGAGGGTCCAACTGCCATAACACCCCAGGCCCCTCGGCTGTGAATTTGGGTCAGACTCACAGGGTTGTTGCTGGTATCGGTACCTGGCAGAGCCCACAAACACCTTTTAGGTTGGAGAAGAGCAAACTGAGAGGGGATCTCAATGCTGAGATCATCTAAAGGGTGGGTGGCAAGAGGATGGGGTCACGCTATTCTCAGTGGTGCCCAGGGACAGGACAAGAGGGAACGGGCACAAACTGGGACAGGGGAAATTCAATCCCGATGTGAGGAGGAACTTCTTCCCTGTGAGGGTGGCAGAGCCCTGGCAGAGGCTGCCCAGGGAGGTGGTGGAGTCTCCTTCTCTGGAGACATTCAAACCCCACCTGGGCACGTTCCTGTGGGACCTGCTCTGGGTGACCCTGCTCTGGCAGGGGGTTGGACTGGATGATCTCCAGAGGTCCTTTCCAACCCCGTATCACTCTGGGATTCTGTGATTCCTCGGGAAAAGGCTGTGGTTTTCTATCTGCTGGGGCTCAGACCCCAGCGTGGCTCAGCCAGAGGGCTGGCTGCTCCCCGTGAACCGACACCGCCTGTCCCCACCGTGCAGTGAACACAAGGCAAAGTGCACCTTCATGGTTATCACTCCCGTGATCGTGACCACACGGGCCACCACGGGGCTGCTTCCCCCTTGGCAGGTACAAGCAGGAGATCCTCCGGCTGAGGAAACGCGCCGACAGCGAGGTCCCACGTGTGCTGAGTGCTGGGGCAGCCGACACTCCCTCCCCACCCAGAGCCAGGAGGACCATCAGCCACCAGCCCTAGCTCTCCACCCCGGCTCTGAGAAGCTGCCCCATGGTAGGAAAGAGCAGGATTTAAAAGGAGGGAGCTTTCTGTTGCGTGGGCTGGCCGGGGCGAGCATCCTTCCCCAGCTGGGAGGCACAGCGAGGGAAACCACGTGGGTGTTCTCGGGCTCAAATTAACAGGAACTAAAACGGGACGAGACAACTGCGCCTCGTCTCTCCTCTGACCCCTGAGCTGGAGGAATTCTGCTGGTCCCCGAGCACATCACGCCTCGGGACACGGGGTCAGGTTCCCAGGCAGCTTTTTGCTGTGAAGGGAAGCCAGAGGGACAGGTTCTAACTCCAGGTCCAAGGGCTCGCTCTGCTCCTGCCTCCCAGCTTCGGAGAGATAAGGCCAGGGCTGGTTCAAGCCAGACTTTGCTCCAAGGGGATGAACTGTTCTTTTATGGTGGGAAAACCTTTTTTTTTTTCACTATATTTGAGTGGAAAAGGGAATGTTCTATGAGGTGAGCAGGGCCAAACTGGATCTTTCAGCGGGAGGTGAACTGGACAAGCTCCCTCCTGGGGAGGGCTGGATATTAGGAAAAATTTTTTCACCGAAAGGGTTCTCAGCCATTGGAATGGGCTGCCCAGGGAGGTGGTTGAGGCCCCATCCCTGGAGGTGTTCAAAAGCCGGGTTGATGTAGTGCTGGGAGGTCTGGTTTAGTGATGATGCTCCTTGTTTGTTGTGTGGGTGTCTATTTTTGTCAGTGAGGTTGACGGTTGGGCACGATGATCTTTAAGGTCCCTTCCAACCTAGAAGATTCTGTGATTCTGTGATTCCTGAGCTGCCTTCAAAGGGAGCAAAAACCCAAGGCCGGGAGTGGTGGCTCCTCGGGCTCCAGGAGCACCCCGTGGCTCAAAGGCAAAGCAAAAATCTCAAGGGAAGAAGCGTCCAAATGTTTATTTTTGGAAAATTAACTAAAAATAAAGTAACAAACGTAGCTGAAGAGGCACTGGAGATTTGAGCCCTTAAATCTCGTGAGAATTCCAGGATTTCTAGGTGGGATTTTCCCCTCCTTTTCTTCCCCCAAACTGCCTGCTCCTCGGAAGAGGGAGGAGGGACCACCACTCTGCATGTCCCCCGGGAGAAAACGCCTGGCCAAGCAGCCTTCTCGCTGCCGTCCCGAGCTGGAGAGGCTCTGACCCTCTACCCAAGCTGACCCTTAATGACGGGGCTTAACGAGGCTGCCGTTAGACGGGGCTTCCCTCTGCGCTGCTCGTCGCACCTCCTTCATGTCGTAGGCCCAGACCTGCTCCAGGCCCTGCCCGAGGGTGCTGCTGGGGGGCCAGGAGGGGAAAGGGAAGCGTCCAGCCACCACCCGAGCTTCGTCGGGGAGTTCTGCCAGGAGCTTGGCAGCTAAAGGAGGTTTCTGGGGAGAGAGAGAGAGACAGCCACGGTGGGGTGGCCTTAGGGAAGGCCACAGTGGCAGTGCCACCAGGGACCCACAGGGGAGCTTCTCAGCATGGCCCAAGGTCCTTCCAAAACACAGGGCTGGCGCTTGCCCTGTGCGTGGGTGGGACTAGCACCAAGCAACAAGTGATAGGACAAGAGGAAATGGCCTCAAGTCGCACCAGGGGAGGTTTAGAATGGATATTAGGATAAACCACCAGGGGAGGTTTAGGATGGATATCAGGATAAACTTCTTCACTGAAAGGGTTATCAAGCCTTGGAAGAGGCTGCCCGGGGACGTGGTGGAGTTGCCATCCTTGGAGGTACTTAATGAGAGGCTGCCCAGGGACGTGGTGGAGTCGCCATCCCTGGAGGTATTTAAACAACACGTAGACGTGGGGCTGAGGGACACGGGTTAGTGGTGGGTTTGGCAGCATTATTTTTATGGCTGGACTCGATTTTTTAAGCATCTTTTCCAACCTAAATGATTCTACGACTCTGCGAATAGGAGTGGTGCTCAGCACCAAACCGCTCGCTCGCAGCAATGCCCCCTTGGCCTTATTTTTTAAAGGGTCTTTGCCACTGTCCCAGATTGTCTCTTTTTTTTTCTACCAAAACCTTCCCTGGAGCTCGCTCCGAGCCAGGCGGGGTGCGAGGGACCGACTTACCACGCTGGGGGCCAGGAACACGATCACATTGGAGCAATCAGAAAGATTCACCTTAAAAGAGAAGGAAAAGGGGAATGAAAGGAGCAACAGGCAGCGGGGGAGCCGGGGGGAGGAGCCATCCCAGTGGCCCAACACCTTGCGGGCGATCTTCTGAACCTTGGAGGAACCAAAAATGCCCCACAACGTGTGGGACGAGGAGGTGCTGGTGTGACCAGGAGCTGGGGGTGAAAGCAGAGCCTCTTGCAAAACATCTGCCTCCAGCATCGTCCCAGAACCACGTTCCCTGCTGGTTTTTCTCCCGTCAGGATGCTGGGACCTGACACCAGCTTTAGCAGCAGGTCCCTGAAGGCCACCCTGTGTCAGCAGCACCTCAGACCTGTGGTGGTGTGCTCTCCCTGGTTTGCCCCCCCCTCTCCCTCTCGGCTCCTGCCCGGCCTTGGCCACCACGGCCACCACAACAGCAGCTGTGACAACTTGCACCCGGTCTCTGGGGGATGGCTGGCAGCAGAGTCAAAATACTGTCTGGAGTGGGGACCTAGAAATGTTGTTGCCATGAAAATATGACTATAGGTCAATTATCTTACTGTATAAATAGTGGACAGCCCCAGAGCCCCTTTGAGCTCTCCTGTATGGCAGTGGGCTGCACGCCAGGATCTCCCCTTTGGTGAGGATGCTCACTGAAGGTTCT